GTTAACATTTGCGACATATATATGAAAAATTTATGGAAAAACTATAATATAAAATATAAATGTTCAAAAGTTCATGACAAAATTATCTAAAATTCATAGGGCAGGTATTCCAAACATATATTTCCAGCAAAATATTTTAAATTTAAAATAACGCGCTCAAAAAATGATTTATAAAGTTGAAAAAATCACATTATGGCTAACGTATATATAAAAAGTGAATATTATTTTTACTCATAGATTGAGCTCAATTTATAGAAGAACTTTAATGTCATACAAAAGGATATAGATTATTTAAACCAATGATCATTGTTTAAAATATAGTTATTATCATTTTATTAAAATATTGTCTCCTTGTTATTATGATGATCCTAACTTAACCACTGTTCACCCCACAATTAAACTAAAATAATTTTTACTTCGTTCATTTCAAACTGATTCACATATGAAACTTAAAACAATCCATTTTTTTTATCACCTTATTCAACCTCAGTTATAAAATATAAAAATACTCAAAAATTAATATACTTCGGATAAAAGATGAGGTTCTGTAACACAGCGAGAACAATATCTATTAAATTATAATTAATGAAATAATAATTTGAAATAGTTTTTTGAAGGTATATTTGGAAAATTATTATTTATTATTATACCATATATATGGTAGGTATAATGACTCCAGTAAATTTTAATGCCATTTGTGTCTTTTCCTATCCGTTTATTTATTTTTTTTAAAAAAAAAATTGTAAATGAGATCTTTAAAAATAAAAATATAATAACATTTTCAGTTAGTTTGTTTTATTATGTAATTATAATAATAATGAAGACATTTCTTTAATAATCTACAAAACATCATTTTTAATCAAAATTTGAGATGGGCACTGATTATTTTCTATAATGTTTCCATTCATATGGCTCTTCCTGGAAAAATGAACGAAGTGAAATGGAAATAAAAAGGAAGCCTTATCATTCAATAAAAATGTCATCTGAATATTTTACAAAAGATAATTTAACTATTATTACTTCTTTCTTTCTTTTAGATAAGTTCAGAATATATATAAAAAGGTATTTGTACAAGTATCCATGTTACCGGTAATGTGTAATAATCGGAAAATGGGTATAATATATTTTTATATTATCGGCCAAATACATATAATTTATTATTAAATTGTCTGAAAATTATAGGATTTTACACATGCCGGAATATTTCCTAAAATGTTCTTCTAGTATGTGAAGAATACTGCTTTAAATACCTATCCTAGGGAATTTAAACCATTTGGTCATGAATTTTTGATTCATTTATAGTTAGTTGATACAGGGATTGACTAAGATATTATTTGACATGCACATTGCCATCATAAGGAGGGGAGGGACGAGCTAACTCCTGTCCCCTAAAGATGGAGAATTTCTTAAAAAAAATTCTTAGAATTTAGTTACGCTGAACTTTTTATTGCTAATTTATCCTTTTTTTTGCTCATTATATATTATAATTATTAACGTAATTTTTTTTTTAGTAATTTTAAAATTTTTAGAGAAGTAATCCCTAGTTAAAGCTAACGACACCATCGGTAACATAAATACTACTAGAAGTTAAAAAAATTTATATATGGACTTACATTAGACCACTAGGATAATGATATGATTCTTTAAAGACTAATATTATAAATATTTATCCAATGTAATTTCTTCGAGAATTCCTATTCGCGAATTTAAATTTTATGGTACACATTAATTATTTAATTATAATGGGGTAATTAATTGTATATAATATTATTTGATATAGATCTTCAATCAAAAAAAAAATATGTTACATAACGAAATTTATTATTTAAAAAAATATATATATAATAATCATTGTATCGTGCATAAAATCAATTTAAAAAAAATTGAAATGGCATAATTATGATTGAATAAACATACATATATACCGTATAATTCATATTGTATATATAAAACGGCACAATTATAATAAACAAATTAAATACCTTGTGATAAATAATTTGAGGATAAACTATTTGTATTTGCTTATATTTTTTTAATTCATTTCAACCCTGCAATTTTTCTTGAAATGTTAAAAAAAACTTTTTTTTAAATAAAAATTTTTTTAAATTATGATAATCAGTCACTTATATTTTAATTGCATACCCCTATGTAAAATATATTATAATATAAAAATGTTAACTCATATATTGCTAATAATGACTTAATAAATTTTGGTTAATAAAGGAAAGTGATTTTAATATTAAAAACATATATATATGCGTTTTATGAAACTACTGATTTTGATGAATATTATCGATAATATTCAAGAGAAAGCTTATAGGTTATGCTTTTAATATTGTTAAAATCTGAATGTAAAATAGCTGGAATGATATCGGGAGAGTCGTTGGGAGAAGAATTTGAAAAAATATTTTATACTATTTACATGTAATTAAAGTTTCAATTGTGATTAAAAATCGCTGAATATTATATAAATTTAAAAATTTTAATTTTATCATATGCTAAAGAAGATCATGGTTATCGAGTCCTAAAAAAAGGGTAAAGATTAATAAAATGACAATAATTGTTCGTCTTTAATAATGTTTCTAGTTTTAAATTTTTTTTTGGAATCTTGAGCTATATTGAGGTGCATGGAGATATTTGTTACAAATCAAAAAAATTTTTCATTTTGCACAGGTGCAGGGAAGCCAAAAAATGAAGTTGCCGGTTAAAACATTTTTCAAAAATATATGGTAATAATTCTTACTTATTAATTCATCACATTCACAGCAGAAATAAATATGTACTATGGATTAATATCAATTTCAAATTTTCATTGGCGTTATATTTTTCTACTATTTTAAAATTTTTCACCATAATCATTTCAGGCTTTTTTTTTTACTCTACATATTTTCGGTCAAATAAGATTTTCAAAATATAAATAACACCCTCTTGTAAAATGATTTAAAATACAATTACCCGTGCAATCCAAATCCCAATGCGGCTTATATATTGCTATTTAAAATATCAAATTTCCTTTACAATCGATAAAATTTAAACGATGTGGGCTTTTTAAGTTTTCATAAAAATTACAAGTATTCTTAATTTTTTCACGTAATTACATTAGTAATAAATTATGGGTTCTATCTAATAAGACGTGTTTTATATATGAATTGATATGAAATACCCATAATTACTAAGAGTTAGACCGTAAATTATTATAGAACTAGAAAATATACTTGCAATTTTTTTAAACATTCAAATAAAAATTAAGATATAAGATTTTTGACCTAAACAAGACATTAATTTATACTAAAGATTTAGATTTTAGAGTAATGACCAATCAAAATAATTTTTTATAAGTTTTCATTTGACATTTCGAGATATTATATTAGTAAAAAAATTGTATATTCCTATCTAGTGATAATTAAAAGCAGTTAAGAAATCTCTTCTCAACATACTACAAATTGTTAAAATCACTGAACACCCTAAGCACTAAATTAGTCTATAAAATAAATACTTAGAATAAATTAAAAGCAAAAAAAAAATTCTTTTTTAGTGAAAACCTAAGAAATTAAATGAGCTTAAATAATATATATTTCAGCCAATATTTTAAAGTGAGAAATTAATATTTTTAGCAGTCATTTAATCCCAATAATTTTTAAATAAAATATGACTGCCATTGCTTTTGAAGCGAGAAATTAATATTACTGTCATACGGGGCTTCGAACCGTGACCGTTATGAAAAGAATATAAAAGGAGAGTACAGAACTGTTATAAATATTTTATATGGTCATAAAGGTTTTTAAGGAATAATTATATTTGAAATTATTAACCGAAATTAGAAAATTTTCCTTGAGGCAATTTAAATTCGTTATTACTTTTCAAATTAAATTTTTTTTACAATTAAATCGCCATTATCTTCATATTAATCAATACCAAGCTTATTGTTTTTACTTTGCATACTCAATTTAAAAGAGATTAAGCAAATTATTAGTTAATTAGATGAGAATGATCTTGATGGTTAAATTAAATAATTATAAATTAAAAAGATATTTCTCATAATTTTTTTTAAAAGTCAAATTTATAAAAACCTGAACGAACCGAAAAGAACCGTTATAAATTAGAAACCGAACCGATATGAACTTCTTCAAAAAAACCGAAATAGAACAAAATCAGAAAATTGTATACTAAAAACTGAAAGGAACCCCTATACTTAAAGGTTCGAAACCCTACATATTAATCACATTTATTTTAATCCTAAAACATCAATTTTTAAATAAAAATATGGCCTCCAGTGTTTTTGAAGGAGAAATTAATATCAATAACAACAGCACCCATTTTATTCACATTTGAATATGTATTTTCATAGAAAAATGAACCTTATGGAAGCAATTGAACCCATTTAATTTAAAAAGGTTTTAATTGCCATAGATGTAAAAATGACAGTCTCTAGGTAAATCGATCTGAAGAAGAAAAAAATATTTCATTTAGAGCAGCTAAATCATTATATATATAAGATTTTATAACACGGATACCCCGGAATATAAGTTCATTTCATTATATGAAAACCAAATTGATACAAAAAAGCAATAAAGACATGAAATATATACCACCTTTGTGAGGAATTGAAAAAATTTGATTCATTATTAATGAAAAATAATGAATCATATAATATTGTAAAATATATCCATTAAAATGAATTAAAAATTTTGTATGTATCCTATTGCATTTGAGAATTTTTTTAACAATGTACCAATTTCTGTTATCTGTTAAATTAATCTCGAAAAACTTTTATAAACTACATTTTTGAAACTTATAAAATATTGTCAAAAAAATCCGATTTTGAAATTAATTTATCGGATAAGAGAGAAAATAATTTCTGGTCTTAAATTACATTGTAATAAATTTTGTTGTTACATCATTCTTTCAATCAACATATATCGTTAAATAAATCGATTATGGCTTCAACTCAAGAAATTTGCCTTTATAACCTGATTTATTATAATTTATATTCGTCAATTTGTGCACATGACCTGTCAGGTTTGACTAGTTATTAATATAAAAAGGATAAAATTTGATTAAAACCTAATCTAAACGCATATATCAATCCAACATAAACTAATGCATGTAAAAAAATTTAAATGAGTAAAAAAAAGACACCTCAATGAATATTTAATGGGATTCAAAATTCGATAATTAAGACTAGGTCTTTTACAAATAAGGCCACTATGATAAATAATGGAATTTCAAACTTTCTAATACATATTTATTTTTTAAAGTGCATTGTATTTTAATTATAAAGGGGCGCGCAGGCCCCAAATTTCTGAGTTTTATCCACCAATAAAACACCGCTAGGAGCACAAAGCCAAGGATCTTTCGTAAAAGCCTGCCACTCAAATAATTCGGCCTTGAGCTTAGAAAATATTTTGGGCGCGTCCTGTAATTCGGGATCATTGTCGCCAGATAAAATTCCTGGTTCATTTAAGACATCAATTTTTTCGACCGAATTGTAAACGATATCTTCGGCATTGTAGTTGGGCGAAGCCAGAAATTCTTTGTGAGCAGGCAACGAGCGCATTAAATTGTGCCTAAATGAATATTAATTTATAACGCCATGTGATGTTAATATGTTTAAAATTGTAAGGTTGTTTTATTACGTCTAATTAAATATTATTTTTTTTACTAATTTACCACATATATATCTATATATAAACCTACTAGTCGTATTAAATGGCTCGATTTTTAAAAACGGCTAATTGGCTAATATAATATTTTAGCCAAATCATAATACAAAAGCCTGAGATTTTGCTCATAGGTGGCAAAAAGGTTTGGATATCTATTTTAATAAAAAAACCATTTGAATGGCTAATTTCAAGGTTTTGCCAAAAAAACGTGATTTCTTAACAAAAAATTATTATTATAAGTTATTTGTATAAAAACTAATTGATCAAACCTTTCTTGGGGATCCATTTGAAGATTAAATAATTCCCATTCGTCCCGATAATAGTAAGTTTTCAGAGACCCTTTGTACCAGTCTAGCGATTGATTGTGAAGAGTACTTTGGAGAGATATGGAATAAAAGTGCATAATATAAAATCAAGATTTTGGGAATTATTTTGAACTCTTAAGAATCTTTGAGCCACATAATATAAGTGGAAGCAAAACTTTAGATGTTATTTAATGAATGAAAACAAATATAACTGTCAAGGGCCCTCTAACTTAGGGGGGGGGATACGAAAAAATCACTTCTTTGAGTGATGCCCTCTTAGTCAACATACATAGTATCCATTTTATAATTTAAGTCATCAAGGGAATATCAGCGTCATTGATTCTGGGGGGGGGGGGGGTGACACCATTAGCGTTATCTACAGATTGTTATAAAATTAACGGTATAATTAATATTATTCTTCATTATATAATAACATATAATCATCTTAAAAAAAAGTCACATTAATAAATAATACCGATTCAAAAGTTCTTGGAACATGAGAGAAGTATAAAAATCGGTGTCGATAGGAAACGATGACCGATAATTCAAGTTGTGTATCAGCTTGTAACCCTGGTCCAGGTCTATTATACATCTCATGGGGTAATATCCTGTTATTTCGTGCAAGCTTTGACTGCCATACACAAATATAGGCTCATCCCTTTTGATAACCGTATTATCTATATCTGTGTTTAACCTGAGGTGGTTTAACAAAGAACGACCTCTCAAACGCAAAGTCGAATTAAGTAAAGTATAATTGGATTCAAACCAAGCTAGAACAGTGGGCATAACATCAAAAGAAGTTGTTACTGGGACATCGACGTAATAATTGAGATCACGATGAGTAGTATTAAATTTGAGGGGCTCATTTTCGGAAGTGTTTAAAATATTTGAAAAATGTTTGGATTCGTAAACAGCCATTATAAAAGGAACCTTCATACCTGGTTGGTATAGATTAGTTCTACCGGAAGGAAATGGTGGGCCGTTATCGGATATATAAATGACCAGAGTTTGGCTAGATGTCAAACTATCGGGATTAGAGGAGTCTAAACTTTGGCAATAATTTTGAATCTCTTTTATGGCTAAACCAATACCTAAACGACATATGCGAAAAAAATAGAGAAAACCCATTAAGAATAATGATTGTAACTTAAGTAAAGAGTAAAGTTGTTAAATAACCCGATGGATCGATTTTTAAAAACAGTCCGGTCCGATTAAAATTTTAGCCAAAATAATATCATGCAAGCCCCGAGATTTTACAAATACTGGTTCAAACAGGCTTACATAATATGGCTAAAGTCTTGATCGGGTCGCTTAACAACACTAGTGAGAAGATTACGAGGGAAAATATTTTAGCAAAATTATATTTGCGAAGTATATTTTATTTATTTTTACTTTTAACCTATCAAACTGACAGGTGATTTTGATTAAGAAGGTATATATCAATCAACTGCTTGTGACAGACTTTTCTTAGTTAGAAAATTTGCTGTTCAAAAAATCGCATGTCTCATAAATAAGAAACAATATGAAAATTTCTCTGCCTTAAAAAATTGGCTTCAATATTTTAAATTTGTTAATAATTTTGATCACCTGTTCTTTATGAACAGACTAACATAATAATTTTTTCTTCTGCTCAAAATTGGAGGTGCAATAAAGGAAATTTATTTTATCAATATAATTTAGTATGAATTATTTTACAATTATTTTTTTTTTAAAAAAAAGCAAATTATTCGAAATACAACTAGAATTCTATCATTCGTAAGAATAGGAATGTAAATTATTTGATATAGCATATGAATAATGCACTATTAGGTTGGTATTTTTGTATAGGGCCTAGTGATAGCGGAGACGTGGAGAAGGGGGACGAGCGGGGCAGCCGCCCTGAGCCGCCAATATTATACAATTTTAGGGGCCGCCAAATTTTGTAAAAAATAAGAATTTTTTTTGTTTGAATTTTGAAAAAAGGTTTGGTACTAGCCATAAATATTAATAACAAAAAAAAATTAATTTTATATTTTAGTAAAAAAAAAAATTATTTATTCTTTAGTTAAGAAATTTGATTTTTTTAAATTAAATATTTCTCTTAATAATCTTTAAAAACAATAAAAGAAAAAGTAGCATAGCTCGTAACTTTGTAATAAATTTGAGCTAAAATTTTGATTTATATAAAACTCACACACAATATAATTATCACATAGTTTTATTTGTTAAGGGTGGTCCGAAAATCTTGTTTTTTATTGGTATTTGATATAAAATAACCATAAACTTTAGGTCAGACTGGGCTTACTAAAAATCAAATTTTTGGCTAAGTTCAGTCCAAAAAAATGAATTGGTAGGGCTTTAATTAAACAACATTAGTAGTATAATAGTTCTAAAAACTATAAAGTTTTAATTTAATGTGAAAATATTCATCCATCTGATTATTATTTTGAATTTTTACCCTGATCTAATCGACTAATAGCAGTATATTGAGCTGCTAACTCAGCCTTACTGACTTTAGTTTGGGGTAAATAGTAAGGTATATCTGTAATATTCCATTCAGTATATATAATTGGCTGCCAATCTGGTATAATGTTTAAATGATCTTGCTCTTGACTAATTTTGCTGGATTTGATTTTGCTACCATCCCCAAATCTTTCACAAAAAGAACCATATTTAAGGCGATCTTGTTTTGAACACCTGTGTGGATCATGAAAGGAAACTACAAGAAAAAATTGTGCCTGGACATCGGTAAGATTATTTTGCCTGTAGAAAATTGAGTATAAAAAATGTAATTTAAAAATGAAAATATTTTTATATTGATTAACAATAGTAATGATTTTAAACCCATCATGATCATAGCTCACACACTAAAACTATTCTTTTTTTTAAAACATTTAGGTTCAAAAGGTCCTTTATAGTAACAATATTCTAGAGAATTAAAGTTTTTTTAAAAATTGCTATTACCTTTTCTTATTTACATTGCAATTAATTTTTAAAATAACCTAGGCAAAATAGGTTATTATGGTCATTAATATAAAGTAGCTTGAAATGGGTGTTTGGTGACGAAAAGGATATTTGCCCCGTACGCGCCAAAAATTCATTAATTTAAATCGTAGCCATTTTGACCATTTAACAAGTAAAATAATGTTTTAATTTAATCTTGTATATTTTTAAACAATTATTTTTAGACAATGACACTAAGTCTTAATGTGAAATTCAATTCTATACACGATTTAAACGTTGCTATATCTATATATGAAAAAGAAATTTTTTTTAACATAGTTATACAAAAATTTTTTAACATGGTTATACATAAATCAGATTTATTAAAAGATACTTATAGCAGTGATTTTATTGCTAAATTATAGCCAAGTTTATTATTTATGTAAATATGGAGAAAAAAAAATTCCAGTCTAGAGGTATAAGAACTTCATCTAGTCTTCACAAAGAATGTATTTTATGTTCTCAGTCTTTCTTCAGTGTGATATACTTAATGAATATTCTTTAGATATAGTCACATTTGTAAAAGATCATAAAAACCATGATCTAGGTTAGAAATATATATTTAAATTTTAACTAACATATAATTTATATAATCAAGATATGAAAATATTTAAGATGCTTCCCAAACAAAGAAGGTTGTCTCCAGTTAAAAAACAAATTGTTGAGCAGGCTATCACTTTTAAAGCCAATAAGGTCAAAATCCAAGAATATATAATAAATTCTTGTCAGATGTTTACTTTGTGGGACATTCACAATATTTCTGAAAAGTTAAACAAGCCTTCAAATAATATATTACTTGATGTAGTAAATCAACTCAGGGAAGATAATGGTGCTGTGGTTGAAATACTTGAAAAAGATAATGAATTAATGGGCATATACTTTCAAGAAGCTAGCATGCTACATTATCTTAAATATTATCCTGAGGTGATATTCATTGATGCCACTTACAAATTAAACAATCTAGGTATGCCTCTTTTTATTTTACTTTTGATAGTTAATCAAGGCCAATCTCAGATTGTAGCTTTAAGGCTTGTCAGAGGGGAAACATATTTTTGTGTAAACTAGCATCTTGAAAGTATATGCCCATTAATTCATTATCTTTTTCAAGTATTTCAACCACAGCACCATTATCTTCCCTGAGTTGATTTACTACATCAAGTAATATATTATTTGAAGGCTTGTTTAACTTTTCAGAAATATTGTGAATGTCCCACAAAGTAAACATCTGACAAGAATTTATTATAATATTCTTGGATTTTGACCTTATTGGCTTTAAAAGTGATAGCCTGCTCAACAATTTGTTTTTTAACTGGAGACAACATTCTTTGTTTGGGAAGCACCTTAAATATTTCATATTTTGATTATATAAATTATATATACTATTTACCCCGTCTGGGGCAAATATCATCAAATGCTATTTACCCCATTGGGGGCAAATATCATCAAATGCTATTTACCCCATTGGGGGCAAATATCATCAAATGCTATTTACCCCATTGGGGGCAAATATCATCAAATGCTATTTACCCCATTGGGGGCAAATATCCTCTGCCGTTTTGTGAGCTATAGTGATTGTGATTATTCTTTAAAAAATAGTAATCATTACTTTTTATAAAGGCTGAAGGTTCTAAAATATTCACGAATTTTTAATTTGATAAATGTTATATTCCTACCAATCTGCATTATGGAGTATTGCTGCTCAGTCTTTTCAAAATCAAATTTGAACAGGTGATTGGGCCCCACATGTTTCTTTCCAATTATACCTTTTGATTCATATAATAATAAACTTGTTTTATAATATATATTTTAATTTTCTTAATTAAAAAAAAGGAATGGTTTTTTTTAATTAATGGCTAATGGAAGATTTGACGTAATATAAACTGATTGTTTGTAATAGTGCATGCATAATAAATTCATGTGATTTGTTTACATAGATTAAAAAGCAAAATATTTTTTAAAAAATAAAAAAGGGTAGATGTAGTAGGTATCCTTCAAAAATATAAACAATTTTACTAATAATTCATCATTATTTTTTAAAAAAGCAGTATAATAAAAATGGAACCTGTAAAAATCTTTTGCTTAGCTAACAGTAATGGTAAACTATTGATATAATCAAAGCAGTTGAAATGGTGGAAACTATGATGAAGCCCATACATCCCATTCTCGTGTTGTGGTAAACCACTCAAAACACTTGCCCTTATCCATTATATATATTGTAATTTATATAAATCTAAAAATCAAATATAACCTACTTGGACTGCAACTCGAAACACTAGTAAACGAATTATTAAATATAACTCCTCTTGAAGCAAACTTTTCCAGATTTAACATTTTGCTCACTTTATTATCAAATATCATTGATTCAAATCCAGCATCATCAGCTAAAATCTCATGAAGAAAATTTACAAAAATATATACCTATTAATAACAACATGTTACGAGCAGCTACATTATTCACAAATAACAAAATAATAAAGGCTATCATTTTGATTCTTTTTTTTGCCAATTAAAAATATTTCTAAAAATTATGCTATATTTTTCAAAAAAGATATTTTTATTTAAAGCAAACATATTATGCCGATATAACTAAACTGAGAATTGACAGGTAAAAACTGAGAATAGACAGGTAAACTGAGAATTGACAGTTAAAATTTATTTTTATTTTATAGCCTATCAATTTTATTTTACAAAAATTATTAAAATGTTTTTATTAAATAGAAGGAATGATTTTATATTACATAGAAACTAAAATACCCATAATATATTTTACAAATCACTAATATATTTCCGTTAGATGGCGTAAAATCGAATTGATAAACTGAGAAAAATAATGACGGAAACTTAAAAATTTTTTTATTATATGTTTATATAAGTTAGTTTACACAAAATGAATCAAATAAATGAGATATTTTTAAAAACCCAAAAATTTAAATAAATTGACTAAACTGAGAATTGACATTATAACTCAAAAAATAATGACGGAAATTTTTTTTCATTTTATGTTTATACAAGTTAGTTTATACAAAATGGGTCAAGGAAATAAAATATTTTTAAAATCCCAAAAATCTAAAAAAAATTGACTAAACTGAGAATTGCCATCATAACTCAAAAATCTATGATGGAAGCTTAAAATATTTTTCATTATATGTTTATATAAGTTTGTACCAAACAAATTAAGCCAGAGCAAAGAATTACCTATAATTCATATTATTAATTTAAAACTAAATTTCTAATATATTACGCCATCCAACGGAAATATATTTATGAAATATAATATTTATTATGGGTGTTATAATTTCTATATATTAAATCTGTTCTACACATATTATAAATTTATGGACTACTCTTCCATATTCTATTTTATTTATTTAAATCATTTTAGTTTTGGATAAATTTGATTTACATAATAAATATTTTATTTATATTTTTAAAATATAATTGATAGATCATAAATAGATTTTACATGTAAATGAGGAGTCGAAAAAGGGTAAATAGGAAAAAAACCCGGAAAAAAACTCTTTATTTTTCTAATAAAAATATGATACTTCACTTATAATTTCAAATTTTCCCTACATTTATATTATTTGGGATCTAAATTCTTCCTTATATCAAATCTTCAGTAGATTCTTTATTTTATTTTTAAAGATAGATACATACCTAAAAGTGTGTCAGGGTTAGCTGATATTATTCTAATAAAAATATGATACTTCACTTATAATTACAAATTTTTCCTACATTTATATTATTTGGGATCTAAATTCTTCCTTATATCAAATCTTCAGTAGATTCTTTATTTTATTTTTAAAGATAGATACATACCTAAAAGTGTGTCAGGGTTAGCTGATATTATTCTAATAAAAATATGATACTTCACTTATAATTTCAAATTTTTCCTACATTTATATTATTTGGGATCTAAATTCTTCCTTATATCAAATCTTCAGTAGATTCTTTATTTTATTTTAAAAGATAGATACATACCTAAAAGTGTGTCAGGGTTAGCTGATATTATTCTAATTATATTGGATCTAAATTCTTCCTTATATCAAATCTTCAGTAGATTCTTTATTTTATTTTTAAAGATAGATACACACCTAAAAGTGTGTCAGGGTTAGCTGATATTATTCTAATAAAAATATAGATCTTTCATTTATAATTTCAAATTATTCCTACTCTTATATTACTCTAATTGTTTCAAGTTTTTTAGGCAAAAATTTTTGAAATTTGGCTTTAATAATAAATTAGAATTTATAAAGTGCTCTTATATTTTTTAAAATTATATTTCAGTTAAATTAATGAAGATAAAAGAAATTAAAATTACTATAAATAATTATTTAGGGTATAATATAGGAAAAAGTGTTATATCTATTAAAAATATTATAATTTTATATAAAAATATTAATTTACCTTGATGTTTGTAATTGGCGGGGAAAAAAAAGGGGGTTGCACGCATCCTTTGCGATAAATTTGCAGGAAATTAATAATTAGATCGATCTGTGGGTGTTAGGTATTGTTAACCATCACCCAATATTATATTAATCACACCTATAATATAATATAATCTTATAACCATTAGCTCATAATGTAATAATTTTTATAAAAAATATTAAGGCCCGGCCCGGGTTTAACAATCTTATACCAGGCCCGGATATATTTTTAAAAAAAAATTTAAGGCCCGGCCCGGATATGTTAAAAAAAAAATTTTTAGGCCCGGCCCGGGTATATTTTAAAAATTTAAAATACGGCCCGGGCCGGGCTTAAGACCGGGCCTGCAGGTCTCTGATTAATATTGATAAATAATTTTATAAACGAATGCCACAATCTTTAACAGCTATTAAACTCCAAAAAAAAACACAAAATACTTACGAAAAAATATTCGAAGTAATAATGTCAAGAACGGGATTTATTTCTTGATCCATTATATATATATATATATACATGGATTTCGAAAGGTCTGCTATGAGCGCGGTTAAAACTGTCATTGGTATGATTATTAATATGTTAAATTATTTATATTTATTTTTTCAATTAGGGGACCACATCATAATCAGAGGATGCTTTTACAATTTGTGTCAAAGTATCTATAGAAACATTCAAAAGCTAGGTCTGGAAAGCTAATATAGAACCGATAAAGCCCTAAGCCTCTTTTGTGGCATGATGGACGGCTTAGCATTTGTTCCTTTATGTGATATGTGCAATGCAATGGCATTCCTTAGATCGGTTACTCCGAGCAATAGTAAGAATATTCTTGAATATTTTGATAAAAATGACATCGATGGAGTATCAAGGGAGGTCACAAGAAGCCATTCTCAATCCCAGACACGTCGAATTGGGTCTCGATTTCCTCCAGAAACTTGGAACGTGAATGAGAGCACTCTATCCGACGAAGAACGCATGTTTAATCAATGCGAAGGTTGGAATCATCGTTTTTCTAATCTGGTTGGGAATAAACACCCATCAATCTGGGTATTGATTTAAAAAAATAAAATGCGAGGTGGCTGCCGATGAAACCAAACTTGAACGATGGCGTGTAAGTAGTTGGACACCGAAAACAAAATCGCAATTACAATACCCAGAATCGGCTAAAGAAACTTTGAGAGGAATACCGTGATGGTGTGCGAAGCCATCCAGATTTTATGAGGGAGATTTCCATCATTATTCTATGTCAACCCATATAGCTATTATTCTAAATTATTAAATTTGTATATACATAATAATGATTTATCAATAATATAAACAGATCTTATTAAATTTTGTCAAATTTTGTCTAATTAATATAGTAACTAAGGATGGATATTGTATTTATAACTATAGCAAATAATTTTTACTAAAATAAGTAATACAATTTTACTGGGATATTTTTTTTTCCCAGTACCAATTTGAACATCAGCATTTTTTTATAGAGGGTATATGAATAATCTTTAAGTAATGAATTGGGGCCTAAAAAAATTTATTATTAAATTATGTATTTATAATATTTTTTCTTAAAATACTAGTCTTATACCTTATTATCCAAATAAAAATATACCGATATTATTAGATCTTAAGTAAATTCGAAAAAAAAATTCAGGGTTTTTTTCGGGTTTTTTTCCTGGGGGTTTTTTTCAGGGATTCTCGAAAAAGTTATTAGTGATCAACACGCCAAGTGGAGTGTATCGTTTCACGCGACTTCCGTTTAGGGTAGCTCCAGCTACTTTTCAGAAAGAATGGGTAAAAGAAATATTTGAACGATATGGGGATCGATAGTGCGAAACAACATACAGTAGAAAACGAAAGCACTAGTTCGCAAAAATTAGAAATCCGCTATGCAAAAAGGATAAGAAAACAATTTATAAGAGAATTGATGCAATAGAATGGAAAAGATAGTCAAATGATTTAAATATAATAAAATGATAAATTAACTTGACTAATTGTTAATATGATTAGTTGTTTTTTATTTATTTTATTAATTATTTATTTGTGAAGTTATTTATATATGGATAAAATTAATGACATATTATAAAATAAAGTTTGTATTAATTCGTTTATGGTGACATATATAATACTCATATCCATAATGACAAAAATAATTAACCATTTATTTAGGGGGTTTTTATATTTATTCGGTCTTTTAGATAATATATTCAATACAATAAGCATTTGTCTCAAAGTATATTTCATAAAATGTTTAATGCAGTTCTGTATTGAAGTATTAGGTTTATCGTTATAAAAAAAAGCCTTTTCTTTTTGCCTATAAAAGTACTAATTGATTAGTGTAATAACATCTTAAAAATGTTTACTAAAGTGAGAAAAAATATTAGAATTATTAAATTTTTAAAAAGGTGTGGAAAATAAAGTAAAATTAATGCCACAAAGAAATACTCATGAGTAAATTCAGATATTTAATTTCATAATTTTCGAATAGCGTAATTAAATGGCTCGATTTGTGCTGATTTTTAAAAATGATTAATTCAATATTTAAGCCAGAAAAATATTGCATGAGCCACGCGATTTCGTTAATAGATGTTCAAAGCATTGTGCCATCCATCAGCAAAATCTTAAGGCTTGCGTAATATTTTTTTGGATAAAGTTAATAGTTTTTAAAAATCTACGAATAATTTATTTTAACTATTATTTGTATTAGATTTAAATTTTCAAATTTAATTATAGTATATTTATATTCGTTAAATATTCCATTAATCTAATAAACAATATTTGCTCTAAATATAATTTGATTCGGTATTTGGAAATAGACTATTTGTACTTTATTCAAAATTATTTAATAGTATTTGATATTATTTAAAAATTTGAAAAATATTCAAAATTATTTGTATTTTTCGATATTATTAGAAAAATATATAAAATTAAAAATATTCGAAATTATATGTAAAATACGAGACTATTCGAAAGTATTGGAAATTATTTGTTTTTAAATCTATTTCTTATGTTTTTATTTATTATTTATTTTATTATCCCATTTTAAAAGTTAAAAACAAATTATTTCTTCTAATTTAATAATCCATTTTTAACTTTTAATAAATTTAAAAAACAAATTTTATTCTCACATCAAATTGAAT